TATCTAGTTATTGATTATAAAAAAACGAATTAAACTTGAAACGGAAACTCTCACAGGCGTTTGTTGTCGTTTCAGAATTACCTTATTTCTGCCCTCATAGAAATTGAAAATTTTGCTTCAGAAACAATGTAATTTTCTGTCAAATATTCCATCAAATCTTGAAGTTTTTCATGTTCTGGCATAATAGACATAATCTTCAATGAAACATTTCTTAACATCATCTTACGTAAAATCGCAAACGTAAAATCGGGCGAAAATTATATAGATTTTGAAAACATTCGGTTTGTTATATATTGAAACATTTTGCATATGTTTCGGATTCTTTATTATAAAAAATTCGGTCCCTCGGAGTTCGTTGTAACGAAAACTTACTGAATATTGCGCGGACGCAATCGGGCTCTTCGGTTAAAATAGTTGATGAGACCTCGGACGCACTCAGGCTATACGATAAAAACCGCAGATGAAATCGTGGACGCGCTCAGACTATGAAAAAGGTAAAAAATTAAAAACGGGACGCACTCGGGAAACCACCGGGCAGTGTTTCTTAAACTGTGTTCCGCGAAGATCACTTTAGGGTTCCTCGGAGCTTAAGTAATTTTTTAAACATTTTTAAGAAAATTACTTTAAAATGTCCAACTAATGGAGCGATTGTAAACTCCGCCAGAATATCGGTTAAGATAAAAATGTAATAAAAGGTATAATGTAAACTCCACCAGTTTTTTTTTTCTTACCTGTAATGGGTATGTGTAAATTCCGCCAGTTTTTTTTGTGTTTTGCTTACGAATACTTTCAGTCATCTAAGGAATTCATTTTATAAAAGTCAACCAAATGTTGATATTTTTAATAAAGTTCTACCGAATTTCAAACCCATACTTATATAAACCTAAATTACATATCTCAAGTAAATAAGCTAAAAAGTTCGAAATAAAAAATAAGATGACAGTGTTACAGGATGCTAAAATAGGTACACTAATGGAGTAGAATATTTACAAATTGTATCACATTATTTTAGTTTATATACATGACTTATCTTTATATTTTTGGATTATTAGATATAACGATTATTTATTATGATTTTTTTACTATGATTTAAATATTTAATGTAAATGATATGATATTATATTATATTATAATTTTTTTTTTTAATAATATATCATATTCATTTTATACTACTACTTGATTTTTTCACTGACGGATTGTACATGAACTCAATTTTACCTGATTTTTTTCAGTGACGTAGTTTACATAAACCAAATTTTATCTGTTATTTTCTGGCGGAGTTTACATGTGCCCTAATAAATATCAGTGATGGTGAAAAAATGTTTGCGTTGTAGAAAAAAATTGTTGTATATTAAATAACAATGTATAAACCATATGAAATAGTCTAAATTTATATTTAGTCTGATAAAGTATTATTATATATGTACCTATACAATTGTTATTATTTTTATTTTTATTTTAACATATTTTTTGAATTAAATACATTTAACACGATATTATTACATGATTATAATTTATTTACAAATAATCCTGAAAAAAGGCTAAAAAATAAAATAGGGGTTCCACGATAAATGTGGACATCGAAAAGGGTTTCATGGATAAAAAAGTTTAAGAAACGCTAGGTTTAGAGTTTCGTCCAAGAGTGTGCGTTAATCGATTTCCTTTTTGTCGACCTGTTACCTTGGGTTCCCGTCGTTACAACGAACAAAACCGCTCGTCGAACATGCGAAGACGGCTGTATAGTAAAACGCTACACGTTAAAACGCGAAAATGTTCGAAAAACTGTTAAACGTCTCACAACGATTAGAAAATAATATTAAACACAACATTTCACGAGTTCGTTGTGGGTTTCGGTACACTGACAATTACACAACGCGTACCATAATCGCGTAAACGGTTTTTTTTCGACGTACTTCTTATAATTTATGCACAACGTTTCGGAAATTTAAAATCGTTTATGAAATACACTAGGGTTGTACCGGTGTTGAAAATGTTGAAACGTTATACACAGCATTGGGTACAGATAAAACGCACGTATTCGATTTCCTGAGTTGAAACTGATACGCACAAAATGAATTATTGTTGTGCGTCGACAACCCCCGTTAAAAGAAATCCTTTCCTCCGAAAACGAAAACAAACAGATTATGCTTTGATTAAAGTTAAAAATTTAGTAAACGTGAAAATAGTTTGGGTTTTATAAAAACGTACAAGCTTGATTAATTTCAAAACGGGTTAAATGGAAGAAAGGAATTGGGATCCTTGAAGGTAGAACAAAAAAAAAAAAAGGAAAGTTTGATCCTAAAAATGTGTATGATAAATTAATTTTTTTGTATACTCAGAATTTTAATTACAGAAATATTTTATTTTATGCGGTGAAAAGAGTTTGTTAATTAATTTGAATAAAGGACTACATTTGTTTTTTTCTTTTTTCTTTTTCAGTCTAAGGCCATTGGAAAATACCGAAAGGTTATTGCGTAATTTTTTGAAAGTTCCAACGATAGAATTAAATTAAATATTAAAAATTGTTAACACTAATCAATAGCGCCGAGTTAATTACACAAACGAAATTACGTACACTTGATTCGGAACTGTTTTAATAAATACAAATGTTGCGGCCATGTGGACATTGAATAAAGTGGCGATAAATATTCCAATAAATAGGGATCGATCGTAACATTATATTTTGTGTAAGTTCGTAAAGCACTTGCATTCGGTGGAAATCAAATCAAATCATATTCCCATTCCAGGTCCGATGACTAACGCGTAAGGAAAATTGCAAAACTCCATATTATACTTTATACAGTACACGACGACGACGTATTATAACTAATTGATGAATCGGTACTCGTACGAAACACTCTGTATACACAAATACACATACATAAGCGAAACTATAACATGACCTACTGTTCAAACGCAGTACGAGCATTGCCGGATGAACGGAAACTGAACATCGAGGAAAAAAAATGCTCTTTGGTTTGAATAAGTTTCGTAAAATCGTGCTCATGCGGAATCGTTCCGATTTCTTTTGAACAAACTATCGATAAAGTGTCGTTATGTACATAAATACGTGTATACACGTGGTGTGCGCGCGTGTGTGTTACGTACAATTGGAACGGAAACTTTCTCTGTTAATTATAATTCCGCAAAAGTAAAACGTAACCGTTCGGTTGTGCATGTTCGTCGTAAACTTCGATTGAATTCATCGCGTACACGCGTATTATTATAATCGTGAATTACGTTCGGCATACGAAAACAGATAGGATCGAAACGCTTTTCCGACTTAGGTTTGAAGACCGTTTGAATCGGTCGCGGTTCATTCAAAAGGGAAAAAAGATATGTACATAGATATGTATACAGAGAGAGAGAGAGAGTTAGAAACTCTATAATCGCACGTCAACACGCGGGTAAGTCGGACGACTTAAGGGAGAAAAAATCGAAGTGGACTAAACGTCCAAGACAAAAACGAAAATATAAACTTCGGGTCTGCCGGTAGTTCCGGGTAAACGACGTTTGGATCTGGACGAGGAATACTTCCGTTTCATTGATTTACGAGGAAAGCGTCGACGACGACGTATTGCGATACGTCGGTAAAAAAAAAAAAAAACGGTTTTCGGACGAGCTGTGCAGACCAATCGATTTCCGGAGACTTTCGATCGTTTTCGCCGCGAAACTCTCGTGTAGTGTATGATTCAGTGTGCCGTACACGCGCGCAACGCGCGCCGTTCGTCCTTCGCGTTTTACGTCCAGGAAACAATGGTGAAAGGGGTGAAGCAATTATAGATTATTTCAGCCGCTGCAAACGATAACCTTGTCACGGTAACGGGACGTAGAAACGTTTGCGATACGCATGTGTGTACCGGACGAACTGTAAACGCGATTCGTACTGGAACGTTTCGTGTCGATATCGTACGGTTAAACTGTGTTCGCACGCACTACGTGTACATACGCATACATTATAATAATAGTAATTATAATAACGATAATAATAATAATGATAATAATAACAATGATATCGTAATGGCCGAAGAGGTGTGAACCGCTTGTAACATTATACATATAGTATTGAGCGTACATTTGCACTGCAATAGCCCAGTTGTCCGCTGCGTTAATTGGAATAGTGTTGTATGCTATTGCAGCTCAACGCATTGCCACGCCGCGATGTCGGTCAGGCGTTTGCGGTATAGCGTCGGACTTTTATTTTTTTTTTACTCGCGCAATTATACCATTGCACAGGTGACTATTGAATTGGTTCCCGAAATTAGGTTAGGTACCTAATCGAGAACTGAATCGGCTCCCAAGACAGGCAATATCGAATTGGTTCCCAATATAATTTTCAAAAAGTTGTTCTCATAATAAAAAAAAAAAGTTCAAGAATTTCAAAAAAAGTTAGAAAAAGAGTTAGAAAAAGTTCAAAAAGTACGCGACATTAAGTAAAATAACTTAAAATAATTAATAAATTAAAATAATTTAAAATACAAATAATCCATCAAAGTTGTTGGTAGAAATAAAAATAAAAATGCATACATAAAAAAATTCACTGACCACTGCACTGTTTTAATATTATTTAGCATAGAGGTTGTATTAATACGTTGATGGTTGTGACCATTTAATGCGTTGTCAGATTAACGATTGGATAATTTCAACGCTAATCGACACTTAGTCGCTAAAAATATTACAATCGCGTACTATTTCAACTTTTATATTTTAATATTGATTTTTTTTTTTTTTTTTTTTTCTAACAATTTTGTTAACCAATTAAATAAATGTGTAGGAAGCCAACTCAATGCATAAATCTTGGGAGCTAATTAAATACGTAAAAATAACGATTACCTGAGTTAGGGAGCCAATTCAATAGCTTCGGCTGTACACGCATACACAGCGACCCTAGTCATTCATTTACATATAGACAATAACAATATAATATTTAATAAATATAAGAAGCATTTTATTGTGTATTATTGATTTTCTAACATTATACGAAAACGGGAAAAAAATATAAAAAAAAATATAATTTCGTTTCACGTTTTATGTCCGTGTGTATAAAATATTAAAAGTTAAACAAAATACAAAATGTCGACGTGACCAACGGGTCGTTACATCATTATAAATATATGTATAGTATTATATGTACAAGTTGTATGTTACACCGAATAATGGTTTTGATTGAGTTTCGCAGTTAAATTGCTGAAGACTAGAGAAGTGACGGGCACGCGCGATCATATGACGAATGGATGGTGCACGGTGATGGGCGGCAGCGTGTCACCGTTGTCCTTTATCACGTTCATCGTTATCGTTAGTGGTTCCTGTAGATTGACAGGACACAACACGGCCGTTGAGCGTTTTGGACTCTCGATCCTCTGCACAAATTTCCCGTTCAGGAACAACTGCGAAAAACACAGTAGGCTATCAAAGTGCAATATTATTGATGATTTATACGCTGTGAACGTAATTACGTTTCATCTTTTCCAACTATACTTTTCGTGACCCGGTAAAATTTTACTTTAAACTTTTATTGGCACATTCTGTTTTTATCCTATCGATCTTAATTGTATTTCAATTTTAATTTATATATTAAAAAAAAAAAAAAATCACAAGAAGATATTATTACGAGAATAAGTTGCATTTATCATAACTGTCGATTCGATATTGTGCAATGTGTGACATTTAATTACAATACAACTGTTTCAACATCCTTGTACATGAAAAAATAATTTGAATTTTAGAATTTAGATTCGTGAAACGATGTCGTTGAACTTCTTGGGGTGCGGTTTACCGTGTTTCGTTCGATAATTTTCATTATATTACGGCATTTTCTCAATATATATTTTCACTCGGATCACACACATTATTCATATGAAATTTAATTTAAAAAAAACATAAAGAATTTGTTAACTATTTGAAATGTGATTTTTGTTTCCAATCATTAGAAATAACGTCGAATCATTTTTTCGTTTTTAACAAAAATTGAGCATCTACATCGCGTGATTCCTGAAAACCCAAGTTATGTTAACTGCAAACGGTGCAGTCAATCAGATTTTACATACGTAGACGATTGCAACAATATTAAATGCATGCAATCATAAGCGGTCATTGGGGGAGGTTATCCTCCCCCAAATATTTTAATAGCATCCCCAAAATCGAAACATTGTTAGAAATGTTATTCGTTGTTTTTATAATTATCTGTTCGATTTTTTGAAAATCATAAAATAAGAAATAATAAAAAACTATTTACAATATCATTAACAATACCAATTAGTTCGACTACTTGCGATAGAAGTTACAGTGCAATGAAAAAATAAAAACTTGGCTAAGGACATCGTTGGTTTATGATAAGTTCAGCGATCTTTCAATACTATATATTGAAACAGATGTATCGAAAAATATAAAAAGTGATCATATTTTGAATATCTTTGCTGATACAAATAGATATTTGTCATTAAAATAAAATATTAATTATTTTTAAATATACGTTATTTAGTGTTTTTTTAATACAATCTAAACATATCCATATTTTTAATAGTAATAAGTTTTACTTGTGTATGGGAAGGGGGTGTGGGAGTGAAGCCCCTGCAGGTTATTTTACATTGAATTATTATAACCTCCCTCCAAAAATTCAACCAAATGTCCGCCTATAAATGCAATGCAAGCCAACCGTACGTGTACAACGTCGACTCACCTCAAACGAGCCTATGGTGTTGGGTTGCGGCGATTTCCACGCCAGAATGATGCCGTCCGGTCCGATCTGCCTGACCACGTGCAGACCGATGGGGTTCTCCGGTCCGATAAGGCACAGGTATTTCCGGTCATCACTCTAAAACGAAATCGTTATCGTATCATACGTTCCCGTGTGCATCCAGACGATTTTTCGTCAGTTATACCAATAATAATAATAATAATAATCTCGCGTAGGAATTGGAAATCACACTCGCACAGGAGACGCTAAATGCGTGACGGTGCTAGGGTACGCACTACGCGCGTACGAACCGGTTGTGTAAACAAACGAATAAATAAACTCGTCTGACTGTCTAACTTTGAAGGTACGCGTATCCCGATCTAACCGAGAGATTCGTTTTAAGTGGGCGCGCGCGTGAATTCGATGATCGGACGGTGTACACGAAAAACACGTCGAAAATAAAAAAATAAAAATCGTTTACTCGCCGGTTTCGGAACAGAAATCATAAAACAAAACGGTTCCGATGACATACTATACAACCGTTATCGCAAAGTTGGCGCATTTTCGCCGCAGTGGTTGTTTACCGGTTTTTCGACTCCGTGTTCGTACCTGGGTATATCGTACGTACCAGTGGCGTATATAGGGGGGGGGGGGGGCTAGTAGGCTACAGCCCCCCCCCCAAATGTTTTAAAAACTTAAAAATTATATTAAACGTATGTTATAATTTAATAGTGCTTTATGCTTATTTAGAATTTGCATCCAACGTCGAATCGTTTTGGGACATTCTGTAAATGAAATGTAGATAAATACCTATTGTGTCTTGTTAGTAATTCTTAGATAGCAGTGGTAATTTAACTCTGTCCATAGTAGCCCCTCCCGAAAATATTTTCTGTATATGCCACTGATACGTACGTATCGTGCCCAATATCTCGCATTAAAACGTTTAGAAATAATAACAATCACGGTATTGGATGAGTCGGCGATATCGAAATAGTTCACATTGCACCAACGTTTATTATGCAACAATGTTTGTACGTACACCGATTGTGCGTGAAGTAGACGACCTTAGAATCGAACGATAAGTGCACCACAGAGGTATTACACATTTATTTTTTGCAATTTCTATTTTACGATACACTAACCTTTTCGTCCAGAGTACACTCGACATTACCACCGTTCAAATATTTCTCCACGGTCGTGCAATTGAAGTCGGGAGCGTATCGAATGGACGGTGTGGAACTGAGACCTTTTGTGAACTCTAATCGACGATTCCACTTGTCGTGTTCAGACAAGTGCAGCAGTTCGTCGGCTAACGTCATAATTATTTTGTTTTTTTCAACGTTTTTGGCTTCCAGCATGGCCGCTTGTTTGGTAAGGTGACAAACTGTTTCTTTTATCTTCAGAGGAACTGTATATTGTACCTAAACAAACCCATTATCGGTACTCAAGGCAAGTTCCGCCAAAAACAATAATATCGAATTCCGGGCTCGAGGTATATACTTACAGAGTTTTTAAAGTTTGTACAATCTGAAAAAAAGAACAAACAAATGACGGTTACACCCACAAGTTGCGTAAATTAAAAGATTTTAATTTAAAATGGTATATACCGTTGGTCGTGTCGGCTGGAAGTCGCGAGACATCGTGATTGCCGTTTGAGTCCAACGTGATGATTACATCGTTAAAGTTTTCCATGATTTTGTGTAAGAGTGGCTCGAAATGTTTGAAACAAGCGTCACACGTCTGAAACACCGTGCAATATTTTTATGATATAAGTTAGGTTTTTCATTATAATAATAGTGTCGCGACAGTAAATATATTATACACCATCACTTTATACTAGTTGTGTCACTATATCCAGTGTCATATTTTTTAAATTAAATGACTATGTGAAAAGGTTTCAAACAAAATATGAGTACAGTATGCATACAAACGAAACAATACTATGACTATCGATTTTCAAAATATAAACTCATAACGGTGTATTGATACTAAAAGTAACTCTTTATTATTTTTGAACTTTACTTTTAGTTGTTGAAGGTTTGATAACTGGAGCGATGTTATTGCGACGAGTTGATTTTGATCGTTGATTTGTTCCAAGTTCAATTTTCCAACATTGTTAGCCTGAAAAATGACATATAATAGCAATTTATATAATAAAGTAAAATTTCATATATTCATACATTTAAGTTTTGGCATTGTAGTTCCTCGGCAGCATTTTTGGATCCGTTGTATGACATGTGCCTTTCCATGCTATCAATTATTTCTTGTTTTCGAGACAATTCTTGGTTCAGTTCGACAGTTATATTCTCTTTGATTTCCTTTTCTTTTGTCAGTGCATTTCGTAAAAGTTTAACGTGTGCCTGGGGGAAGAAAAATCCTCTATAAAACTTATATGTAATGTATTTTATTTGAAAGTTCAACTGTAATTCAATTTTAGTACATTTATTAAAATTATATAACAAAAAATAAATTGTTATTGATTTACGAGTATTAAAAATGTACTAATTTATATTTCAGTTTTTATTATTTTATTAACAATTAAAAATTAAATTCTTAGATGTACAATAAACAGAAATTCATATTCATATACTCAACTAACATTATATTTTAATATATCCATAAACTACTCGTATAATGTTAAAATTCTTTCAAATAAAATAAAGACGAACATAACTGAAGTTTAGAAAAGATATATTTAACATTTATCTATCTTACTTTTAATTTTATATTGATGTAAAATCTAAATAAATCGTAATTTTGTTCTTACGAATTATTTGAATACAAATTTGCATTGTGTTTTCAATACAAATATCAAATAGTATAATATTTTTAATTTTGATTTTCGATGACTATTTATTACTTATTATGGTTTAATATGAGTATGATATAAAATTAATAAGGTGTGAGAAGTCAATTAATACAAGAACAAAGAGTTTACCTCAAGAGTTTCAACTTCTTCTTTAAGTTCTCCATTTGTAACGTCATATTCGTCAATTTGTTTCGACAATTTTAGTATAGTAGACTGGTAATTTTTGGCCTGTAAAAATATTATTTTTTAAGTAATATGTATATTAAATATAACTAATAAATAGTATTTACTTCAACATTATACTTCTCTTCAAGCTCTGCGTAAACAGACTGTTTAAAATTTATATCTTTCTGTAGATCTTTAAATTTCATTCTCTCGCAGTCCAATTGATTTCTAAGTACTGCATTTTCTGATTTAATTTGGCACACTTCGTTGACGAATTGTTCCATATCGTTTCTGAGTTGTGTTTCACGACGAACCCATGACTGTTTTTCTACGTCTTTAGATTGAAGTTTATGCACCAAATCTCGTACCTCAGTTTCGAGACCATGTATTCTATCTAAAAGTTCAGGTTCCCTATCCCTGGAATCGGCAGATAACCGCATTCTATTCTCCCGATCTAATAATTTCTTTTGTTTTTCTGCCAATTCCGAGTTTAACTCCTCAATTTGACGCTTATACCCTTCCTCAACATTGGCCAAAATGTTATCGGCTTGTTGTAATGTCTGTTGATAAACATTATCTTTGAACTCGAGATCTTGGATCCGTTTCTCCATTTCCATACGTTCTTTGGTCATGATCCGCAATTTCTCTAAATAATCTACATCCATCTTTGCAGATTCCTTATACTCAACGGTTTTCGTAGGTCTGGGTTTACGATAATGTTTACACACGATACGCCATATATTCCATAACACTACTGCTGGCCAGGCATTTTCCAAAATCTGTAGTTTACATTTGGTTTCCATTTCAGACTCTTCGAGCTCGAAATTCCGCTGCTCATATTTGTTGACCAATGCTTCCATCGAGGCTGCGTGTTTACGGGCTTCGCATTTCTTAGCGTCCACTTCAGATAATTCTTGGCGAAGTGCTTCGATTTCTTCAGCCTTGCTCACTAATTCGGATTGTAGTGTATTCTTTTTCTCAGCTAATGTCATATATTTATTTTCCAACCTAAAAATTAAAAATTGAATTGTTAAAAAGTCAAAAATAACACATTGTTAAAAAATTAACGTACTTCTGGCATCTAAGTCGGGTATCATTTTCTGCTTCTTCAAATTCGCACTTTTCTTCTTCTAACAATCGATTTTGTTCTTTTAGTTTATCTATAGTATTATATAAATTCTTTACTTCACTGGACAGTCTTGATTCTCTATCTATGGATGCTGTTAAAAGTTTCAATCTTTCGTCTTCCGTGCTCTCGTAAGCTTCGACTTTTCTCTTTAAAGTTCGCCAGTGTTCCTTGTAAAACGACAGTTCCTTAGCAAATCGATCGTCTACTAATGGGACTTTTCGTTCTTCGATTTTTTCACGAATTCTTGATAATTTTCTAAGCTCTTCGGTTAAATCGGTAGATAGGATATCTATCGTTTTTTCAATGGGACTCTCAGTTTGAGTTGCTTCTGATACGGTTTCCGAATAGATATCTTCTTCGAAAATACCACTTTCTTGAAGGCAATCTGGGTACGACGTCTGCTTATGGCGGTCATTTTGATTTACGTCTGTTAAACGGCACTCGAAATGCCTTATGAGTGCTAGTACTTGATTAATTGTCGATCTATCTTCTACGCAGTAACATATACTGTTGTACATCTCCATCAGTCGTTGTTTGATATTATCACATAGTCTTACATCCTAAAACACAATTAAAAAATTCAATTTGTACACAATTATGTGGATGTACTTGGATGTATTTCTAGCATAGCAAATATTAAACGTTAAACGAATAACAGTCTTTCATAACATACACAAACATATACACGCCCGTGCGTGTTTTACAGAAATGATAAATTATTACAGTATATATTATATAGTTAACCTTTACATTCTACGGATATTAGGTAAAGGAATGTTGTAGTGGAATGTCAAACATGCCCATCGAAACCCTCTCGGTTGCATCCCCCGGGGTTAAAATCGAAACCTGTCATAACCTCGCGCACGGGCATTATACCCGGACAGCCGCCGCCGCCATAGAAATCTAATTTTATTACCAGTACGACATACGGAAGCCAAGTGGCACTGAATCGAAAAACCAGTAAAAAATAGACACAACTATTAAACAGCAGTACGCGTATTTGATTTTCGAAAGACAGAACATTTCGAATCGGATCACGAACCGTCCAAAGTCTACAGAATGCTTGTCACACAAGGTTGTCACATAGTTCTATAATATACGCTCTAGGCGTGTTTCAATTTCGAGGTCTGGCCTTATTGTATTTAAAACATTCTATCCCGTACATGAATATATGTAGTATTTATAATTGTAATATTTTCTAGTAGGAGTGGTAACACACGTGAAGTCGAGAGGGTCCGTTGAGTCAACGGCACACCTATGGATTTCTATGACATAACGGCTGGAATAATATAAAATGGTAGCCAAATAAATGAATAACAATCACGTGAGAGTGATTTTGAATGTAATATAATATTACGTTAGTTGGAATATTATAAACAAAGAGCGGTGTGTGTTGAATACAAAATTTTACTCTGCAAGTAACAATAAGTAACAATAATATTTTTTTTGCCACTGTTTTTCATCCGTTTCAGCTATTATTTAGATCGTGCATTTATTTGACAATTATTTTGCTTGATATTTTTATTCACTTACTCATACACACATACTTTGTTTTGTTTGATGATATTGATAAAATAATTTCTTTACAAAAAAAACGTTAAAAATTTAATTTAGACATGTTTATTCGTGGTTTGCCACATTGATAAGTTCAATAATAACTTAAATGGTTATTTTATTGCGCAAAATTTGAGAGTATTATAGTTTCGTTATTATTTTAGCACTTGTACTAAAAATATTGATTGTAAAAACTCGTCCCCGCAGTACAATAGATTCAGGAAGCAATTTATGAGTTTTTATTCTCACAAATCCGGGTTGCCTTTTAAATGTCAACACCTTATTCTTACGATAAAGATAAACACTATTTCAGCCGGCATCACAAGGACAAAAAGATAATGGAACTGAAAGATCACTAGGTTTTAATAGACAATTGAAAAAAAAAACAGCAATTTTAAATTACTCTGTATTGCGCGCGCTATACTAGCATAACATGACCTTGTTTTTTTTTCTGATAAGGAATCATGTGACATTGTGCCTGCACGTTATGCACTAGGATTATTTACGTTTAGAAAGGGCTTACCAGTTCGTTTTCATGTTGGTCGCCGTCACTACAAAAATCGTCGCTGGTAGCTAATGACATAACACCGGAGTCGCTCATGTCTTCGGTGGTTTCACGGTTTTGACTTTTCAGCTGTACACAAAAACAATGGATTGGAATAAGTGCGAAAACGTTTTGCAACCATTCGGCGGGACGCATACATCATATTCAATTCAAAATAAATTATACAGAGCACGCGGTGAACGTTGAATGTATCGCATGAAATATGAATAAGATGAAAAATATTTTCACACGCGTAGTCCAGGATAAAGTAATGCGTTCGAATACTTACTTATTTAAACGTTTCAACGTCGTGCTACATGGAAATACTCGTAAAATAATTCGTGATTGATAACACCTACGATATACGACATGATATTTTAATTAAATTTGTAGTCTTACTTTAGTCGTTGTTTCAATATCTTCCAATTCTAAAAGTCTGAACTCAAGCAGTTCATTGTGTTCTGTCGTCTCTTTGAGTTGAGTTTGCAATTTGTCTATATCAGTCAAGAGGTCACAATTTATTTTAGACAATCGTTGGATTTCTCGTTTATCTTTGCGCAACGTTGATTCTTTGAGCTGTTGCACTTGCATGCAATTAAATGCGCGCAGCAATTCTGAATGTTTTTCAGATAGTAATGAATACATAGTTTCCAGGTCCACCATCTGAAAGTAAAATTATAGTAAAAACTCAAGTATACATTTACAAGACCTATTATTATAAATTTTTTTTTCTGTTTTTATTTTTTGAGATCTCAACGGCAGTACATAACCTCTCGTTTCGCTATATTATATGATGACTGACATCATTGCTTACATAAATAACATATTTTACACGTTCAGTATAATAAACAACAATTGTACTATCGGCTTATTATTTATTATACTTTATACTTGTTTATAATAAATAGATAAATTTAAAATTATATTTTTCACACGCCAGCAGTGTAGCCTATGTATTTTTTTTAACAATGTATACCTGAGGCAATTGATTTTCCTTGTTTAAGACGGTTGAATTCGCCGTGTTTCCTCCCACGCGGTTACTGACTTCTACGGATTTTTTCCGTACGTCTAAAACATCTTGGACGGTTGTTTTCGTTGAATTCGATAATACTTTTTGTACCTATAGATCAAATCAATTTTTTTTTTTTATTACGTCTGAAATATAGTAAATTCAATAGAGTGCACGACAGGAATATATTATACAGTAATTGGTTGTACGCAACTTCCAAGTGAACGAGTAGAAAATTTCGTGAATCGTAAAACCATACCAGGGTTTCTAATAATAATTAGAGGTTATATGAAATTATAAAATTACCTTAGCGTTAGTGATTCGGTCAGTAGGTTTTGGTGAGTCTGTTTCTGAGGAGGCGCCATTCTAATTTTTGATTCATAGAAAAAAAAAAGAAAAAAATAGTCATAAATATAGATAGACAACATGTTTTTTTCATAAGCTGAAATTTCTTGTTCAATTAAAATAATTAGAGTAAACTTTAATAACGATAAATTGTAAACTCCAAAACAGTGAGCAACAGCAAACTGAATGATAAAGTTTTCTTAGACTATATTTAAAAATATAGTATTATAAACATAAATTAGTATACAGCTAAATTCATATTAAATTAACTATAGTATATACAAATGTGATGGTTTATGCATATAATAAAATATTATAATATATTTAAAAATCAATAAGTACGTAAGTATCTACCAAGAATAAATAAGCCTAAAGAAATACATGTATTTTAGATCTTCAAATGACTGTTTTTTTTTCGTAATATAATTAATTCAAATCACGAACTATTAGGTATATATATATAAATTATTATTTGTTTTTAAAAAAAAATTACAAGCCATTATATAGTATTTTATTAATATGTCGTTTATATAACTGCTACGATAAAAAATTGAAATTAATAAGTAGTCAACATTGCTTTTATTATGTGGTTAGAAAATGAAAAAATGTGTTCGAGCACTAATGATTTGGAAAGTACTGTTTGCCTTTTTTTTCAAACCTGGAGAATTACTATTATTAAATAAAGATATGCAACTAATCTAGTAGTTAATACTAATACAAGTATACCTAATAACAAATAATCAAATAAATAAATAATCTCCTATAGATGTATAATAAGAAATTCATTGAATGTGTTATACGTTTATGTAACATTCAATTAAAAACAATCAATAGAAATTAATTGGCGCTATATCTAACCAAACGGCCACTTATTGGAACAATACTACATTTTAGTGCTTTCATTCAAAATTCAAAGTCTGGATGCTATCATTATATATATTATTATATATTATTTTTTCTAATTTTATTTTCAATCAAATGAATCTATAAAATATATGTTTTTATTTAATCGTTAAAAAAAGTATGTTTACATCATTTTATTCATTAGTCGGTACTTAATGTTTGTTACAATAATTAATATATATTTATATTTTATTTAAAAACAATACTGTTTCAAATTTAACAGATTTAACAAATTATAGTTAATAGTTAAAACAAATAAATATATTGAAGGAGGTGTCCATTTTTTAAAATATTCGTTCCACTAAAAAAAATCTAAAATTTTGGTTTTTATTTAGCATTAATTATTTATTTCGTTATAAAAATGAACCTATCAATAATTTATTCATTAAATTAATATTAAAAATTCATTATTTATTTGCTTGCTTCAATAATCGAATTATTGCTAATAGGATAGTTAGCAGTAATTATTAACTTTCAAAAATCAAAATTATTATTGCGAAAAGCATCTACTTTTACTCGATGGTTCTCTTGCTGTATTATTTCCAGCAAGTATGTTCATGTACTTTCTATTAATACTGATAATTTATCAATCAGTAGTTAATATAATTACAATTAATAAATTTATAGCATTTCTAAAAATCTATAACTATACGAATCTTATAAGATTAATAAAAAAAAAAATTAACGATTGCTATAATTTTTAACTTAAAAATTCTATAACATAATTCTTATATCACAATTATTGCCATATACATATTAAAATATGTAGAAATATAGAACATAAAATAAAATTCAATAATACATCATCACAAATTTATAATTTAATTACTAAAAGTGATATTTTGGAATTCCAACATTTAATTTTCCGATTAAATATACTGAAATAATATACATGTACAAAGTTCCCTTCATATACTTGCATTTTAGACTAATTTTGTTGAGTAAAATCAAATAAATATATTTAAATTTTGTTTTAAATTGTATCGATTTTTAAAATTTTAAATTCTAATGTATAATTTTAAGATCATAATAAAAATAGAAAATACACCAAATAATACTAACAATAATAATAATACGTTTTGTTAATGATTATATAATATAATATTATGGGTGAATTGTTTAACATATGTATAAGTAATTGCTTCACTACAATCATAAAAAAAAAAAACAATGTAATATTAATTAAAATATTAATATCATCCCGTAAAATGAAAATTTCAGAATATCAGAACAAGGAAGTCAATATAAACAATGTTCTATTAGAAAGGTTCGCCGTATAACAGATCTACAGCTATGCAGCCGATATTGAGAACTAATAATAATACTGAAAAGTCCCGTACCTATACCAACCCGTCATTACGGTATATCCATGGTTAAAAACAATATCGGAAATAATGATATGATTATGAATACCGTTTTGGTCGAGCATCACGAATCCATCATCTTTCTGACAGTCGTGTTCACGTTAAAGGCAACACTATAATATAATATTAATTTCCCTCGTTTTATTTTTCATCATTATGACGATCGTATTCGTGTTGGCGGGGGCTGACTGCAAGCACACTGCTCAGGGAGAAAGCATTCCGAAAGATATTTTTAATAATAGTATAACATCCGTTACGCGTATTAAACATTTTACGATGCATATATTCACGAGTACATCAGTCATGAAACATCAAACAAGCCGTTAGCGAACATTAGTAGGCAACACTAAAGTATGAAATTTGAACGTGACAAAGGCTCTTGGATAAGAGCTGTTAGTTCGATTTAAGTTTTGTTCAGTTAGAGTACAGTATTATTTTTCAATATAAAATCGTAGCGAAAATAAAATTTAAATTTTTACATACTACATTATAATTTTTTTTTTTTATTATTATTATTATTACTATTATTATTATTAATATTTTTATTATAACAGCCATTATTATATTAGCATTTATTTCGAATTATATTTACACTAATTTTTAACCACATTTAATGCACGTTGTGTTTAATTAATTATATTGATACAAGTACATGTAGTTTAGAAAATAAGTACCTAATTGATTAATTATTTAAATAAATTAAGAAAAATTAAAATTCTCAAAAATGTTACATAGTTTCCTTTTTAATACAATTATATGTTATCTAAGTGGATGGTAAAAATGATGATTGTGTATTTGTTATTAATTTATTGATTTCTCAAACACATTAACATACTTTCAAAAGTTATTGAATAAGAAAAATCGAATTCTCGTCTTACCTTACAAACGGGTCCAGTTTTCTTTTGTGTACCAGATTGTTGAGAACCTTCATTTAGCTTTTTTATCTGAAAAAAAATAATTGTAATCTTAATCATAATAATAGTAACGGTAATAGCATAATAATAATAATGACGTATAAGCTCGCATGAAGAAATTACGTTCTAATAATCGTTTCTATTTTTAATGTGGTTCACTTTCGATTTTTCCTAGACCTCTGCAATAATTTACTTTATTATTATTTTTCGTCATCGTTAATGTTATTTTTTATTATTATTATTTCGCACATGTGATTCTGTGGCGGATCGTGATCCCGCCAAAATAGTACCTTGGATCATTCGTGATGTCGTGGGTGCTTCGAACCTGTTGTAGCCAAGCGCACACTCATACAAATACACTTTCACCTCCGACCGGATCACGTTTTACCTCCACCGTTCCTTTACATTCAAGTATAAACATTTGGCTGAATTGGACCAACTAATTAATTTCAACACCTGTTTACTGCGGTCGATCAACCCATCAGCATGTCAATCAGTTTTATTTACTGTTTAATATTTTGTAATTTTTATTTTCTTACCGAAATACTTAAGTAGTTTTCTTTAATGTCATTATTTTTAAGATCAAGATATTTTATTATTTAAAATCAGATAACACATATTAAACTCATGTGCGTATAAGGCATATTTGATACATTTGTATTATACGTTGTATATTATATTATATTATTTATTATCAATATTATTCTATTTATCGATAACAAATAATAAAAACAAAATTCAAAGCTGCAATCATATTTTTTATATTTTAGTTAATGTTAGTAAATAGATATTTTGTACGAGAAAAGTCATTGAATAAGTATTATTGACTGGTGTGATTTATTCAACGAGACATATTCAAAAACAGAAAAATATATTCTAAATATTTAAATATTTTTATTGATAAAATAATATCGCTTTTTATCATTTATATTTTAAAAAGAAATTTATAAAAACCCAATCACCTCGCAATCTTATTTTAATATGATTAGGATAACTATTTTATTTTTATTAAATGTAATAATAAAATTATTTGAATATTTGAAAATTGGCTACTTTTACTTATACTTACTCACACAGTTTGTTAATATTAAGAAATTTAAACACTTATTTTTCAACTCAATATTTTAAATGTGAAATTACAATTTTTACGATGGCGGGACGAAATGACTAAAATATTTATAAAATCTATACAAATTATCTTAATTACTTTTATCCGTTTAATATAAGTCAATAAATTGTATTTAAGTATACTATAGTAAGGTATTAAAATATTTTTCGCAAAAAAAAAAAATTAAATGCAACGGAGTATATATCAATCGAAAGTCTCGATGTTGCTTGGAAAAAAAACAACGTAGTAGGCGTACAAGTCTACTACAATTTGTTACCCTTCATTTATATAAGCAGATGAGTCACGTATGAAATCACACAATTTTGACAGGTGAACACGCCTATACACTACAGGAAATCCGCCGATTCGTTTTGACTGATTAATGGACAATGTCGTATACGTACGTACGTACTTTAAGAAAACAAATGAAGGAGGTCAAAGCAATAAATATCTATTTCTACTACTACTACTACTACTACTACTACTACTACTAATATAACTTAATATGCTATTATAGAAAAAAACCAAAGTATTACGCACTAGAAATATGGATGGAAACTCTATGAAAGTCTCTTGAGCTTAATGCTAATAATTTGTTTTTTTTTTTAAATGAACCATAAAATATATGATTTATGTCATGTTATGTGCTCGTATACTGCAGTTGTAATTCACTTTGATTTTATGTTAAAATTGTCAATTCTTTTATTTTCTTTTTTTTTATTCGTAAGACGCTTTGATAACATCTCCAGTGTAAATTATATTTTTTATTCTATAGTAGATTAAAATATGTACGTATGCTATAAAATCTACACTTTCATGGATACACTTGGTTTTAATTCATTACACAGTGCTTATACCTGTACCTTTATGTATTTCATACATATACATGCAATAATGCTAATTGCTAATATTAATTGAGAAATGTTATGGCTTCTATTAATGTTATAATAATCAAATTCCCTCACGCATGTCGTCTAAGGTCCAATTGACTACATTCCAGAATTTTCAAAGAGTTTTTTCAACAATTTTGTAAGGTTATAACAGAAGTGTAAAACATTATTATCGATACATTTAAAAACCATATACCCTTGTCAGTGGTATTGTGCAATGTTGAACGGTTGATAAGTCAACAAGAAATAACTGTTTTTGACTATAAACCATAAGAGTAATTACGAGTCACGGGGTTTCCGCGTAGACACTTCGTAGTTATATCCACAATAACGTTATACAATAATAAACAGACACAACTCTCACAGACGTAAACTGCATGATGATAATATTATACATATAATTTCAAACAGGTAAAATTTAAATAAACCTTTTATATATTTGTGTACAAAAAATAATAATAATTATTATAATAAACGTTCAATAATATAATGTTATATAGACGTTAACTTGTATGTTGACGTAATAAAGCGATTTAGATAATCAAAAGACTGCACTGCAGCGTGGGATCGATACAGAAATACAAGTATTACAAGATTATAACTAAAAACGTAATAAAATGACAATTTGAAGTTGTAATTTGTAAATCTTGCAACACACCGAGTATAATGTAATGGCATGACACAACCACATGTAACCCGAAGAAGTGGAAAATGTCTATAATATTTTATAAGGTTAATAGCCATGAGTTTTTATGAGTTTTTCAATTCCTGTTAAATAACGATAAGTTAATAAAGCCTTCATTCGTCTTAAAATTAATTTGTTGAAAATATAACTAAAAAGTAGGAACATTAAAATAATTCGATTTTCCATTCAGTTAGATATTAAACTTATTATTTTCGGTTAATCGATATATTTACACTTAGTATTCAATTTAGAAAATATAAGATTTGCGTTAATTTATGATTTGGTCCACGGAATTTACAGTTTAAATTCAAAGTGAAAAGAGGAAATAATTGATTTTTATATGTTAGGTATTTTTTATGTTTTATTTGACAATATGAACAAGGCCGGATTAAGCACCTATTAGGCCCTAGGGCTAAAATTTTATATGGGCCCTTTTGACAAAACATGCTTTACAAAGCCGCTCGCTACGCTCGCAGAGCGATACATTTTTTTAACTATTCCACAAATTGTTGATTACATTATAAAATTATAAAATTAATAGGTATATAAAATTTATGTCTATAAAATTTCTAATTTTAGTATGATAAAAATGTGTATAGGCTTAAAATTGTTTGGACCCCTTTCACTTAGGTGCTCAAGAGGGCCCTGGGGCTACCACCCCGACTAGACTCCCTTTAATCCGGCCTCGAATATAAATCAAATACTATTTATGTATGCGAAGATTTCAAAATATCATTAGGTACATGGAATAATACATTTTTGTATTTGTTATATTAAAACATTTTTTATTATTTTGTATTTAATCAAAGTCAATCATAAAAACAAAATTAATAAAATATAGAGTTATTTATAAATATAATTTCAAGTTTGAAGTGTAAATAAAGATTTTTATTAAAAACAAATAAATAACTATTCCATAATGATAAAAAATAATTAAACTTAAATGTTATATTTAAAATGTGTACCTTCGTATAAATGATAGGAGCACAAACAGTGAGTAATTCATTCTTGAAAAAATCAACTAACATAATTTACTAAAAAATATTAAAAATTAATTGAACAAATAAGGTAAAATATTATTTTCCGCATTTTTCAGAAAATTATAATATTATCATGCTACGTATATTAATAATTTGTGATGGTTATATAAACAAAAAGTTTAATAATACAATGACGTAAAACATGTTTTAAAGAAATCACTGTGTTATAATATGTAAGTAGTTTTATTTTAGTAAAAGGTCGAGGAATTGGACTGAAACTTACAAGATGGGTGTCTTTATTATTTATTTTTAATAATAATACATTTTTATTTGAACAAACTGTACCGAAATCCCAAAACAATCGGCTAGTCGTGATATTTTTAACGTGTATATTACGTTTAATAATACGTTTTGGAACGTATACATCAATACATACTTTTATATTGTCTTAGACACTGAAATATTATACTTGTGGTGTGATATAATTACAATTGAAATTAATTAATTTTCTTGCGTACCATTTTTTTGTTGATAACAATAATAATAATATAACACAAACATAACGGTAGACCGACGATGAGTTTCGGTTGAACGAACTTCAATCTATGGATCCGAATCTAATAATTATTGCGTTTAATAGCATATTATTATTATTACTCCCTTTGCGTGTACAATACACGCGTGCACGTTTATTTATTTTGTATTTATTTTTAATAACAACCGTAAGCTTTAACGTAACCGGTTCGTCATTCGTCGGTGTTCAGGGACCCCCAGGGCCCCCGGTAAAGTTACCGTAATTACATTATTGTTATTGAACCATTCTCGCATATGTATATGTATATCTGTACGACTGGTGCAGTGAAAGTACAAACTGCGGCGGGAGAAAGTAGCTTCAGCCCGTTCCAATGTACGTAAAGCATGATGATAATAATATAAAATAAACGGGCTTGTATTTTTATTATTATTATTATTGCTATTATACATATTTTTCTAGTTCCTACTCCTAACTATATATAAATATTTTCATTTTTTTACAACATGCATGCAATACATTAATACGCATTCCTGAACTTCCGATATACCGTTAATGACTTTCAAAACAATATTTACTAGTCTTAACCTTCACCTTTCACAACACACGAGTTTTATATAATATCATATAAAAACAGTCGTACGAAAATAACATATTATGTGCACATATTGTAATCGTTATTTTTTTTTACGATTTGCGAGTAATGGTGTTCAAATATTATTGGGTTACGCATGAACAGTGAACCTCATAATCTCCGCGAGATATTGTATTTATTGACGCCAACAACGTTATGGACGATTAAACAATATTAACGCTTATAGTTCGATGTAATATTATCGAAACATTGATTTCTTAAGACCATAAAAGCAATACGATATGTCTTACGAGCAAATTAATATTTTTAAAACTGATACCATATGGAGGCTCTAAAAACATGTGCATTGCAGTTATTGGCTATCGCGAGATAGAATAAAAATATAATGGTACCTATTTAAAAAATAAAAAATGAAATAGTATGCAGTGTATCACTGAAGTAAAAAGATTTCAAATTTGAAATGGATACAACTTATTTTTACTTTGGTCATATTAAACGACAGAAAAATAAAAACGATAGTGTGATATCAACAGCTTATTTACTCGAATGGCATCGTTTAACCTCAAAATATAATCAAAAACTGAAACATATTTTTAATCGCATAAAAGCTCGATAGTATATAAATTAATTTAAGTCGATTTTCTTCGATAGACAAGTATAGTACTTTATGAACACAGTGCATATAATTTCGAAGTAATTTATTTATTTAATTAAAAGTTACATTTAGAAATATTATTCACGTAGATACGTATATATTGTTTCAAAAATATTAAAGGCATTGACGATTAAATTAAAATAGCATTTTTTCCCCGTAATATTATACTTGTATTTAGCATAGGTACACTATCACTGCCATGTACAATTTTATTATGGTAACAAAATATTAAGTAGTTAAACTTTAAATAATTCAAAAAATATATTGTCATTTTACTATCTAAATACATAAGTTATTAAGTGATTTGATTATCATATGTACTAGAAAATAATTGTTGTATACGACTATATGAGATTTTTTTTTAAATATTTCATGTACTCTCAACGTTTTAACGGTATTTTTATGTCAAATTAGTCATGCATACATATACGTCGTACATCCTAATTGCTATGAACGTTCAGCATTCGATATTACTCTTTCATATCTACACATAATATGTGATATGTAAAACAATTTTAAATTGAATATAGTTACTTACTCATCAATAATTTTAATATAGTTATAATATATAATACATTACGGATCATAAACTATTCGGTAATTATTTCGTAATTGTGTAATAAATACTTAAACATAATAATTTTTTATACTATGGACAATAATTATTTCAAATATTATTTTTAAAAATTAAAATATTAGTATTACCAATATATTATTATAAGATTTATACATATCGTGTTAATATTTATATATGTGGATTATAATATATGAATGTATGATAAAAAAATTTCTTATTACAAGTCATACTTATAATGTATTATTATTTATAACTGTATATGTAAAATCTCACGAAACAAAACTATCGATGCAGATTTGATTATCCGAAGAAGACTTTAAAGAAAAATAATATTATAGTATTATTTTTTAATTTGTGCAGAATTTAATACATGGATGTATGATCTGTACTTTATAACTTACTAATATGTTGTTTATTATATAGAAAAATATGCATTAAAAAATAAATTATACATAATTACTGTTATTCGTATTTTACTGACATAAAATAACATTATTTCCAGTTTTGGAGTTTCTATTTTATATATGACTTGAAAAGTATTTAAAAAAATAATTTTCTTCGATAAAACTTTTTATACATTTCCAATCGGATTTAAATATTTTTACACCATCTGATATTTTTTAATTTAAAAATGTATGGTACAGTTTGGTTATTTTTATTTGGATTATACTTATACTTGCAATGAAAACCCTGAACTTCCAATTAAGAAAATCTCTCTATAATAAGCATTTTCAAATATTCCAACGGACTAAAACTTGTTTATTTCACTTTCTCAACAACGGGCCTCTCTGTATTAAAACGAATATTCTTCGGTAAGTCTTCGCTTTAATATTTATTTAATACGAATTAATGAGTTTAAATGTATAAAAGGATTGATAATAAAAATAAGTTTAAAGAAAATATAAATATTTCTCATAAGAACTAGAAAGTATAATAAATTATTATTATTAGTACTCAAAAGTGACTAGAGCCCAATAAATTATCTCTCTAATATATTGTGCAACAATATAGGTATATAAACGAATATCCTTGGTTTTTCGTTGTTGTATAATATAATGGTTTAATTAGTTGTGCGTTTTCTTGACATCAGTTATTTTATTTATATGTATATATAAATTGGTAATATCTATCGGAACCTTATTTAAATAGGTTAGTTTTAATATACACCTACTTAATGATAAACTCTAAGGTACAATAAAAAGTGTTAACGAAATTGGTGCGTACTAGAAATTATATACCATTTGACGTGTAATTTATTATACATTTTTACTTATCAAGGACAAATAAATTGAAACCATTTATTGATATTTTTATAATTCGAAGAAAATACATAAATTTGTTCATGTCGTTCACTGTGGTTGTAAAAAATATTAATAATCATGTAAAATCGTATAAATATGAACAAGTTGTTAATTTTTATCATTTATGCATATACATGCATATTATACTATTAGATTCACATAACGATTATATAACTATCATCAATAAGATGAAAATAATTTATATTCATCGATAAGATACTTAAACCGTTCATTGTTGTAATTGATATTTATATATTAGTGTATTATCGTTATATTGAGTGTTTTGAAATGAATAAGTACGATACATTGGACCAATTTTCTGTTATCATAATTTGTCAATAAATCACGTTATTTGTTACAATTTTTTTTATTTATAACACATAGTATATATGCATTATATCAAGAATACTGATTTATGAATAGTTTTATTTTAATATATGAATAGTAGGCACCGTTATTGTAATGTATAGATTTCATCGCGATTTCTGATTAAAACTTATAACAAAATAGAAACACTGTTGCATCAACACCGGTCTCTTTGAGTATAGTTTATGCCGGCAAGTCGTTCCATATTTTATTGTTCTTATCGGGAACAGACCTTCAAGCGCTATCTTTTATCATTTATAATAATAAATCCGACCGGCAGATTATAGTATGTGGAAAACGGGTTGTAATTAAAAATCACCAGAAGCATGAACCAACAACTTATTGTTTGACTTGCCACGAGTGTATATCCCGCGAACCTTCCCCTTACATGTTGTATGAAAATTATACTACTCATCAGGTCTTTAACTCTACTCGAGTTTTTGCTCGTCAGCGACAAATCTTCGACTGGATCTTTGATCATCTGCAAACAAAAAAATCATAATAGAAATAATAATATAAAATAGACGCCTAAGTATATCTATTGTAAAAGTGATAAAAACGATGACCATCAAACAAATAACAATGATATATCAATCAAAGTGTATCTTTAAAACTAGTGAAGAGTACAATAGCGACCGATTATAAAAATAATGTTTAATTAAATTGGGTTTAAAAATTAACTGTCAAATTGTGACGAACTATAATTATAAAAATAACGTGTGAGTCTTGTCATTTGTCAAAATGATTGATATAAATTTGGACCGTTTGGCTTGACAGATCGCAGACGTATTATACATATAAAGCCTACACGCATACACGTGTACATATGGATACGATTGAAATATTAATAAAACCAGATATATGAAAAACAGTTCATGCTTGAAAATGAGTAAGGGAGTTTTTTCACAATAATTTCTAGAAAAAAAAAAACATTCAACGTAGTTTTATAAATCAATATTATATATTCAAGAAGAAATCTTATTCTTAACAATTTTTATTAATCCACATATTATAATAACTCATAGTTTGGTCAACGTATAAAATAAATCAATACGTAGTTTTTAGTTAAATAATATATTATGGATTAAATTACATTTTTCGATTATGAAATTTTTATGATAAATATTTTTATTTAAATAATAATAAAAAAATTAAGCCCCAGATATCAGATTTGGTGTTGATATAAATTTCCTTTATTGACTTATTTTTTATTAAAAAATGTAATGCCATCCCTTTTACTTATTTTAAATTAATTAAATAGTGTTTAAATATATTAAAAAAAATGATTCTCTTTATAATTTAATTTATTTTAGTTTAATTAAATATATATATATATATATAATTATTTAGATACCAACATTAAATACGTTGTAATTGAATACGTCGACGTTTACAGAATTAAAAAAAAAAAAGAAAAACAGTTTATAACGAGTGTAATGGGTGGTTTTGACAGTTCATACTACCTCAAAACTGTCTGGTATATCCTTAACTATTAAATTATTGCTTAGGAGTATAATATTTAAAAATTAAAATATCATTATATTTGTTTTTGATGCTTTGAATTGTTATTTATAAAAACGTATACACTATTTTAATTGAATCCAGTACAGAGCAAATTAATTACAGATAACGATACTATTAATATTAATCATCAAACGTATGATTTAAACTTGGAAAAAATACTTTAGCTTTTATTTTAAAGTACTATCAAATTATTTAATTGTTTTTAACATATTATTTATAATTACATTTATAATCATTTCAAACTTAAAAGTTTTGAATTTTACTAAAAATATAAGATAAAAGTTAGAAATCCTACTTATAAGTTAAAAAGTCATAACTTCATAATTAATTAGTAGAACATTTTTTTTAAAAAACAAAATCAAAATAATATTTATTTTTTGAAATATTACTCCATAGTTTTAGTCATAATATTTCCAACATAAAATCAGTTATTTACAACACAGTATTATTTTTTTCGGCTTGCTATTAATGATCAAGAATCAATGAAAACTAATAAGTATAGTAGAAATAATACGAACAGAGAACAGAATGTTTTAGCACGAGTATGGTGTTTCAAGTAATATTTTTACAGTTAAAAATTAAAAAACAACCATAAATAGATAAGAAAAATAAAATTATAACGATAAAATATATTTTTAGTTAACAAACTCCTTTGTCCTAGTTTTAATCAGGCAAATTTGATCAGAGTATACCAAGTAAGCTTAATGTACGTATCCTACGTATTCTAGTACGTAGTACCACTTGTTATTTTTATATTATAATCACATGTACAATCAATGTGACTGCGACATTACTATACAACGTGTTTATTAACTCAAGTGAAAACACTGTTTACGATTATTTGAATGTAGTGAACATTTTATATTGGTTGTTATCGGTAGACACTTCCTATAGCAATAATTGTTTATCGTGTCGTTTTTTTCATCACAAACAGTGACAAGAGAAATGTAGAAATCACATTTGCTTATGTTAAGAGCGAAAAATATTCCACGAACGATGGTAAATAATGTGCAGGCTCTTATAATGAGTAATTAAATAGTATCACCAATTAAGGGCACGTTCTTGTGATGAAGTGTAATTAACGAGGTAACTATAAAAAGTACCGTAAACGTGTTTCCGATAATAATAAAATGGATATTAATGTCAGATGATATTGTATTACATATTTCTTTGAAGTTTATTAAAAATGCATGATCGACAAAACTTGTTCTTGTGATATAATACGCGCAAATACACGCGACGGCGGTGGCGGCGACATGGTTTCATATTTTTTACTTTGATTAAATATCTATTAGACATAGGTAGCGGAAACCTTCGACTGTTGAAAATTATCTTTACATTACACGCTCAACACACAATATTAAACTGCATTCGAGACCGTTCAAATTTTCTTTAGTACATCGTACTCCATTGTCCGAGTAGCAAATGTACTTACGTCTAAGGTATTTTTTGTATATAAACCAAAATAATAAAAAGAAAATAGGAAATTATCGTGATTTGATAGCGCAATAGCATAAAAAAAAGCAAAAAAAAATGTATATATCAATACATAATTAATGTATTATAGTGTTCTTACTTCTTAATTTTGATTAAAATGTTAGGTACGCATTATTCTAAGACTGAAAATAGTACATATAAATATTATACTGTATATTATGAAGGATCATTATTTTAACAATAAAAATAATATTCATTAGTAAAAAGTAGAGCCGTAACTAGGGTAAGGCGAGCGAGGTACTTGCCTAGGACGCCTGAAACTTGGGGCGCAAAAATATTAAATAGTTAACTTATTATTACTAAATTTTAAGAAATGTTATTTCTTGTTTTGCTAGAAACCTAATTATAATTTTTCAGATTTTTCCGAATCGTATTATACATATTAAAAGCTGTGACAACCCTATAACCTAGGGGACGCATTGCTTCAGATCTGCCTCAGGATAAAAAATGGCTCGGCACGGCTCTGTTAAAAAGTGCATTCTAAGTAACAAATATATATCACCATTAAAAAAATTAATAATAATTATGACAAATATATAATGAAAATGTAAAAATTATTTTATGAGAATTACTTTAAATATTATAAAAATATTTTTATAAACAGCTGAATTTATCGAGAATATGAATGTCTAACAATAAAAAAAACTACAATATATTCAATCTAAACACGAAGTGCTGAGAAATAATTTTTTAAAATCATAAAAACTCTTCTATTTGAAATATTTTTCAAATCCAATAGAATCCATTTTCAGAGATAAATTTAAAGCGACAATTATAAAAAAACACGTTTAGAAAACATTCAACCAAATAGCCAATTGAATTTCTAATGCAATTTTCGCTTTGAGGTAAAAAGTGAAATGCTTTAATTTGATTACGTAAAACATTTTAATTATTTTTATTATGTATCAGGTTTGGTTAAAAAATTGTTTAGTTAAAACTGAAGTTGGGCTACCAAAAAGATAGTATTGATAGATCTGAATAAAGGATTTAAATAATCGAAAATAACGCTTCGAGGACATTTTTAATTCAGTTTCTACTATGTGTAATATATCACGATTCTTTTATGTCCTCAACAGTTGCTATTTATAGTTCTAACATGACCGACTATCCGCGGGCACAGGAAGTGCCCCGAAGGTATGCTAACAGTTCTCATTATTTCATAATGTCACATGGAGCTTTCCCTTTGCGTATTTCACTTTCTAATGCTATCAGATGTCAAAAAGATTATTAGTAGCCGATGAGCTATTAATTTAAATAAATAAATAATGTAATAACGCCTGGAAGCTTGATCGGTTCAAGTATAATTTTATTCAATTACAACGTGGTTATAATAATCGTTAATGAACACCACGTACCGGCATTTCGTAGGCGCCTAATTTTTATTTACATTTTCAAATAGCGTACAATTGTTTAAATAATGTAACAAATAACATTTTGTAAAATATACGTAATATAATACGCATGTGCTTCTGTTGTACGCATTATTTTTACACTTTAATAGAATCCGTCGGCACATTTGTAAACCGCATAAAGGCGTTATTAAGTTACGAAAACGTTGCATCGTGAAAACATCCACTTTGTCCAATCCTGGATGATTCCAAACATTCGTTTGGTTAATTTTTAGTTCAAACGCGAAATTCGTTTACAGGAAGTATTGTCACATAAACAATAAAAAATAATAAAACAATAATAATCATTGTACGGCCGAGATTATGTATATAGGCCACATTACGGTTACAGGTTTTATTATCACACATGTATAACCGAACAGGCCCGAAAACGTAAACACAAATACGTAATACTTTTTACTATCAGAAGTGCAGCGATCCTTTGCCTGCGCGTACGCGGTTCGGCTAACAATCGTGTGTCGCGTTTGTGTTGCTTTGATGCAGAAGTGGAACTAGACATTGTTACGTCCTATCATGGACAAGATAATCAAATACTATTCTCGAGCGTTTTTTTCTAATCATTAATACACGGTCATACATATTGAGTTTTAACCTAATATCAGTATGTTCCAAAGTTAAAAATATCAAATTGGTTGTTAATAATTACAAAAATTATACCCTCTAAAATTTTACGCCCGGGGATAAATACCCGTATACCACCCCATAGTTCCGCCTCAGCTTTGATGTAACGTTATAAGGTGGCACGAGCGCGTAAAACGTTAAGACTGTTTTGCGCACGCGTCGAGCCGATTTGAAGACGGCGGCGACGAGCGCGCAACCGAGGCGATATCCGTATGACGAATCGGTTGAAAAAGTTCATCTGAAACGAAATCGATATAGGTCGTCCGACGGCCGGGCGGGCTTGGTGGCATGCGCGGAGGGACTGTAATCAGAAAAGGAACGCGCGTAATACTTAAAGCCTCGGTTTCCTGCGGTCGCGTTCCCGCGATCGCGCTAAAGTTGAACTGCCGAAAAACGGTTTACAGATGATTGGCCCGCGTGTCTTTTTTTT